TTTGTGTATTGTATTAGGAGGTGGCCGAATAACATACACAAAAATCGTTCGGTGTTCACATAAGACATGTCGGATAAGATTAATTATACAATTGTTAAAGTGAACAAATTAAATTTCATATTCACCCTGGTAATTTATTGAACAATTAAATGATTACAGTTAATTATACATCGTCTTGAAACACAATCGTTAAATTAAATTCATATTAACCCTGGTGATTTATTGAATGATTAAATGATTATACATTGCAGCGAATTTATGAAATAACCCTTGAAAAATTTGACCATTAAGATATAAATATAGATTTTGGCTGAGATAAGAAATTTTTTCCAGGCTAAGGTGCGTCGTTATAATAAATTTATATGTCTAATAAGGGTGAGGAAGATAAGTTAGACGCGTTATCAGTCTAGATCAGAGGTCCAAAAAAAATTTTCGGGTTTATATCAATTTAATAATATGTAAATTGGTAACTAAGATTTACTTCGGGGGACAAAAATACTCGGATTTGGTGACCAAATTTTAGCTAAATTTCATAAATTTGCCATGATGAGTTAATCTTTATTGTCTCGAAAAAAATCGTTAAAGTGAACAGAATTAAACTTCATACTCATCCTGGTAACTTTATTGAACAATTAATTGATTACGGTTAATCATACATTGTCCCGAAACACAAATGCTAAAGTGAACAAAATTATACTCATCCTGGCGATTTTGTTGAACGATTAAATGATTACGGTTAATCATACATTATCCTGAAATAAATTGCCAAGGCAAACAGAATTAAACTTCATACTCACGCTGGTGATTTTGTTGAACAATTAAATAGTTTTGGATAATCATACATTCACCTGAAACACATTCGCTAAAGCAAACAGAATTAAACTTCGTACTCACCCTGGAGATTTTATTGAATGATTTAATGATCACAGTTACTGTAATTATACATTCTCTCGAAGCACAATTGTTAAAATGAACAGAATCAAACTTCATGCTCACCCTGGTAATTTATTGAATGATTAAATGGATATGGTTAATCATACATAACATTCTCTTGAAACAATCGTTAAAGTGAACAGGATTAACTTCATACTCATCCTGGTTATTTATTGAACGATTATCATACAGTAATTTATAGATCGATTACAAAAATAAAATAATGTAATCATTCAACTGTTAATACTTCTTATTAACATATTTACCAAGTAAATCACATTGTGTTATTACCACAACATACTTACGTGTTATGAAACATGCAAAATTAACAATAAAATCAATTTATATAATTGGCACCACGATAAATAACCACGGTTATTATTTCAATATTATTTCAATATAGGAGCAGAAAAATCAAATGCGATTTGTTTGGATCGATGATTTGCATAAAAATTTTTTCAAGTCTCGTGAGTCCGTGAATACAACATAGATAGAATGATTTACTAAAAAAAGGAAAGGTACGGCCCTAAATCTAATAGGTTTCTTAAAGTCATCCAACCCGACCGACCAGATCTTCTTTATGATTTAATTTGTGCAGAGCTGTGCTACATTGAGCTGCGTTGATTTTCGAAACGCTGCTCGAATGTACTGTATATAAAAAATTTATGAGTTTGCAGGTTGAATACGTCAATATTAAGTACGTACGTACGTACAGTTATACAACAAATGCGTATATATGTATATTAGTTGTAGTTTATTAATGGTTTAATTTAAAAAAAAAGTTTGTGCATGTGCAAGTCATTTAAAAAAAAATTAATAATTTAAAAATACTGTAAATTGATTTTTTTTCTAATTTTATATTATATTGTATATATATTATTAATAGATAATCCAATGAGAAATGGTTTGAATTTTTTTAATTCATTTTAAACGGTGTTGGCAAGATTATTGACTAATTTGCGGATTTATTAGGGTTTACACATTGTCCGTTGAAGCTGCTTGCTGGATCACAACCGTCTCTACAATAATCTTCTGAATCTCCTACATATTCGTAATTAATAATCTTTATAAGTAGATTCTTTTTTAAATTTTTAAAGCTTAAATTTGATAACCTACCACAAAATTTAAATGAACTACAACAAGGATAATCAGCAGTACATGTAACACCACCACAAGTGTTATTGGTTGGAGCACTTACCATTGAAACTATGTGTTGGATCGCAGCCAGTTCCGCAATAATCACCCGTATCTACAAATAATTTAATAATTTAGATCAATTACGTATATACAGTATAAAATTTATGATACAATAAGAAAAGTTAATATTCACTTCCGCAGAAACCACTAGCACTACAACATGGTAATGATTCAGGGCAATCATAACCTCCCTATTAAAGAAAGTTTATGAGATAATGAAAGAATATTGAATATGCAATTTAGAAATTAAAAAAAATAAAAAAAGTAATGTACAAAGTTTGGACATCCTGATGGTGGTGGAAGGGGTCCAGTAGAATTTATGGCGACTATGTAATTATAAAAAATATAAGGAATATTTAGTTATCATAATCTCTCCACTCAATTACACGTGTACATATCGTTAAATCTATACATACAATAGTTTGAATATCCTACATGTGCTGGGTCCTTTCCGACAATCACAACATAATCACGTCTCGAAGTAAGATTACCGATGGTATAATTACATTGTCCGACATTTGGGTTAATATTCGAGCACAAAACCATATCTTGTGTAAAATTTTGGGAATTTCCATGTGCTAAAGTCACATTAATAATTTTATCTGTATTTGAAGTGACGTTCCATGATACTGGAAGTATGTCGCTTTTGTTATATACCATTCCTGCAGCTGGTGAATTAACTGTATAGTCCGCTGTGCTAAAAGTTATGAAAGTCATTAAAAGAAACAAAGTATATGCGAGGAATGAACGCATTTTTTTTAAAAACAAGTTTATTTGGAGTGAATATTGTGAAAATGTTAAAATAATAAAAAAAGTAAAAATCGAGTGAAATATGGAAAAAATTGAACATTTTACGTATTTTACATTTATGTATTTATATTCTTTCTATCTATCCACAAAGATGGTTCATATATATATTTATTCATTTGATTCGTATCAATCTTTGTGTTATGCATGTATGTAATTCTGAGACAATGCATCTGTTAATTGGTTTTGATTAACAAAGTTTTCATATCGATATGCATAAAAATTAATTTAACACATGATAAATGACTAATAGAAAAAAAGTATTTTTTTTTACTATACGTATAGAGAATGATTTCGTAAATATATATACATAAATTGCCGTAATTTGGTAATTAAGACTGTGTTATCTTTAGTTATATAATTCTTAGTTTACCTAGTGATTGAATCCAGATACTTAAACGGATATCGGATAGACATCCACTTTAAAAATATCTATCCGGATATTAACCTACTAAATCGGATTATATCCGAATTTTACAACCGGGGGGTTTTTTTTTTTTTTTTACAAAGGCGCATTAATGATTATGAGGATTTAATATTATAACTATGCTACTTTACAACAAACCGGGATTCCTCTTCTTTATTAAATAGAAGTTTTAGCTCTATACAGTATATTTTAATTAATAAAATACTTTCTGGAACCTACTAAATTATGGGTTTACTAATTTCTCCCCACACTTCACTATCGGAGTACCATAAAATTGATTAATAACGTTGATATTCCGATATGCGAATAATTAGTAGAACCAATCAGAAGTGTGGGGAGAAATTAGTAAACTCCTAAATTATATCAGAAACACACGCTACATATTAGCCGCGTGTCAGTATGCGCGCCACTTCATATAGTGAGCTTTAATAATCACGATACTAATTTAGTCTAATGCTCAATTATAAAAGAAAAAGTCAATTAATTCATTAAACCGGATATCCGATTTAATTATTATTATATGTTATCCGGTTTTACAGTAACGTTAGTTAATTTAATTACAAATTATTTTATGGAGTAGGAGTAGTTATGCTAGGTAAGCAGACTTCATTGATCATCAGATTGACAGGGACTTCCATCAGGAATACAGGTAGGAGCACAAACGGTTGAAGTAGGTATGAAAGTTACTGTTGTTGTTTGTTCGCATTTATCGCAATCATCAGGTACCTGTTCGTTATCAGGGCAAGCGCTCAAAGTAGGTGTTTCTGTTGTACAGGCTATAGTGAATGTTACTGTTTCAGAACTAATATCAGTGATAGTACATGTTCTAAAAGATTGCGGATGATATTTATGATATTTATGTTTAGCATGTTTAGTATGTTTAGCATCAATGGTTAATGCTAACAAATGAATGAGAAAAATAATAAAGAGTGAATTGAAGAATTGTCTATTCATCATTAACTTTTATTCAAGTATCATACTTTATTCATGAAATACGCTTTAATTTATAAATAAATTTTTAAAAAAATTATTGCTACATAAGATGTATTAATTTAATGAAATACAGTACAGTATTTAAATTAATGCAAAAAAAACGACAATGGTGTCCCGAAGCAATTATGCCGAAAGGGGGGGGGGATAAAAAAATTAAAGCAGAAAATTAAAACGAGAAATCAATGAGTCCTAACTTTTAGAACTGCAAAACATAGTATATTTATGGCAGTACGTCAGGGTATAATTACGGCACTACAGAATAAATACAGTCAGACCTCTCTAAATGCATCCCCTTTAAATGCATATTAATTATCTGGCCCAATAACGGGCTTAATAAATAAATGCATGTTCTTTATTTTGCAAATGCATACTATTTTCTTGGCCTGCATACTGTTGCTATTGTAGGGAGAGCGATGAAAATATAATGTACAATTTAGCTCCAATAGTAAACGTAAAGAGTTATAAATATCTTTCCGTTTCAATATAAACACGTGAGGTAAGGTCACGGAGTATGTAAATTGGGGCTTATACGATCGATTTTTAAGGGTTCGATTTCGAATGCAAGATGTAAGGATATGCGAAATAGGTAATAAATAATGTAGGGCGGATCGGTATTTTGGGTCAACTATGATAATATGTAAGGTAATAAGGATGTTTATGGAGGGTAAAAATAATAATTTAGTTTATAATTAATGAGTATAAATAATTCAAATATAACGGTAATAACAATGGGAGCTAGATTAACAATAAGTCAACATAACGATAATGATATGTATTTAATTATTCGAGAAATCGATTCTTATTTTCACTTCATTAAAGACATCAAAGTCTGAAGGAACTTTGTTAAATTGAAAATTCAGGCTTTAAATACATTTTTAATTTACTATGAATCTACAGTGCTACGTTCTAACCCTCTTACTTCTACAACCTTTCCTTACTCCTTGGGCGCAAGCCTTAAAACTCCCACAGCCCGGGCCAGCAATGATTGTTGTTGTGTCTACAACGATTGTTGTCAGGCCAACAATGATTGTTGCTAGCGCTGTGCATACCCTCCAACAATTACTGATCAGTTCCCAATATTTACCCAAAATACCAAAGACAATAAATAAATAAATTAATAAATAAAATTCTAAATAAGCCCCCTTCGCGGTTCCATGTTATGGGATCCGTGACATACTCCCCTTCTTACTCCTGAGCTCCTGCAAAGGGCTCGGCAAGAAATTCAGACAGTTCTTGCGCACGTATCTTCTGGGCTTCGCTTTTTAAGACTAGGAAAACTTCTTTGGTCATCCTATATAACACATTAGCAGTAATGACCTGATTTTCAAGATTATAAAATCCCCTAAATAATAATAATACTGGAGGAGATTCACTTGATTTTCCTTGTTAGAATTAATCATCCTACATATATAACTAAGCTTTTCAGACCAGGTTCCTTCAGGGTAGTGTTCTTATGAACCTGAACTTAATTGAACTTTGGTCAAGTTCAGGTTTAATTATAAAAAAATATTGAACTTTTAAGTTAAGCTAATGTTCAGTATTGAACTTTTAAGTCAGGTTCATGTTCAGTTCAGGTTCAATTTAAAGTTCATGAACATGTTTAGGTTCAATAGTGGTTCAGTAATGAAATATAGTCAAATTTTTTTTATTGTCATTAGAATTTTTAAATTTGGAGTTTTTTAAAAAAAAATCTTTTTTCTTTACTAAGTAAACCTATTTTTAACTTTTAAGAAAAGTTATAGATGAGTGTCTTGTAATCAGAATGGCAGTTAAAACATTAAAATTAGCCTGGTAGATCATGAGATATAAGTAGTTTAGTTCTCACAACTATATATTTTCTTCTTTATATAAATAAAGAAGAAACAAATAGCTATCAAGACAAAAATACTTATATCACATGATTTGCTAAGCTGATTTTAATAATTTAATTGCCATTTTGATTGCAAGATATTTTTCTACAACTTTGATTAGAAGTTAAAGAAAGATTTACTTTTCAAAAATTTAAGATTAATAATATTTTGTATAATTTTATTAATAAATTATAAAAATATTATAATTCTCAAAATTTTACTAATTAATTATATCTTTACATTATAAGTAAACTTGTTCTATATATAAAACTATATTATATTGGCATATATTTTATTATAATTTTAAATTTTAAGAAAAATATTCTTAATTTTAAAAATTTAATCAAAAATTCAAAATTAAGTATATTTTTCTTAAATTTTACAAATATAAAGTAAACATATACCAATATAACATATTTTATACAAAAAACAAGTTTACTTAGAGCATAAATATAGAATTAATTAATAAAATTTTGAGAATCATATAATTTTTTATAATTTTATTAATAAAATTATAAAAAATATTATTATACTCAAATTTTATTAATTAATTCTATATTTATACTCTAAGTAAACTTGTTTTATATATAAAATATGTTATATTGGTATATGTTTACTTTATTTTTGTAAAATTTAAGAAAAATATACTTAATTTTAAATTTTTGATTAAAATTTTTAAAATTAAGAATATTTTTCTTAAAATTTAAAATTATAATATAAACATATACCAATATGTATAGTTTTATATATAGAACAAGTTTACTTATAACATAAAGATATAATTAATTGGTAAAATTTTGAGTATTATGATATTTTTTATAATTTTATTAATAAAATTATATAAAATATTATTGATCTTAAATTTTTAAAAAGTAAATCTCTCTTTAACTTCTAATCAAGGTTGTAAAAAAATATCTTGTGATCAAAATAGCAGTTAAATCATTAAAATCAGCTTAGTAAATTATAAGATATAAGTATTTTTGTTTAATAGCTATTTGTTTTTTCTTTATTTATATAAAGAAAAAAATATATAGTCACAAGAACTAAATTACTTATATCTTGTGATCTACTAGGTCAATTTTAATATTTTAACTACTATTCTAATTGCAAAACACTTCTTTATAACTTATCTTAGAAGTTAAAAATAGGTTTACTTAGTAAAGAAAAAAAAAATTTTAAAAAACTCCAAATTTGAAAATTCTAAAAACAAAAAAAATTTTTACTAACTACTACTAAACTTGAATATATTTATAAACCTTGAACTAAATCTAAACTAAACCAAAACTTTAAGTTTAGGTTCAGTTCAGATTTATAAATTCAAAGTTCAGTTCAGATTTAGGTTTAATGATCTGCAAAATTTGTAGTTTATGTTTAGGTTCAAGCTCTGATTTAGGTTTAATGATCTGCAAAATTTGTAGTTTATGTTTAGGTTCAAGCTCTGATTTATTGAACCTGAACTAAACTAAACTGAATCTAGAAACTCTACTTCAGGAATAAGCTCAGAGTATCAGATTAATATTTCTGTTTAACAGAGGTTATCTAAGTACAAAGTCAAGGCTTGGAAGAAAGGATTTGTAGTGATATCTATTGAAAATTTCAAATCTGCTAATCTTCTTAAGTATTAAAAAAAGATATATATTGGTGGCTATTATATGAACTTTGGCTATATTAGTATTTTTATATATTTGTTTTAATTTAAAAATATGATTTAAAAAATTAGAATTAATTTGTAATTGTGACATTTTCTTAGTAAGAGTCTTATTTAATTAGAGTTAATTATCAAGGTTTTATAAGAATTTAAACTTAAAATTGTGAGATGTTGACGTATCTCTTTAACTAGTTTCTGTAAATAGACTTCTTAAAAACTTTTTTACTCTTTAAAAGCTTATTGTTTAAATTGAAATTTATTATTCTTAACTTATAAGATTCTTTTCTACACAAATTATGTATATAATATAGACTTGTATGGAATTGTTTAAGTTTGGTACTATATAACATGCTTAGAGAAGTTTTATGCAATATCATCTTATCACCAATTTGATAAATCTCAATTTAGTATTTTTAATTATAATAAGCCTTTTGTTTGTTTTGAACTTTTCTAATATTTTTTTTGGTTTTGAGTAATTTCTAGATTCTTTAGAATAGACTCAATTCTTTAGAAAAAATAACTTTGTATATTAGCTTCAGTAATTGGTTCAACTAGATATATTGTTATAACTGTCTTAACTAGTAATATAGCATTATAGCTATATACCAAGAAAAAAGGCTTATATTTAGTAATATAGTATTAAGTAGTTCAATAGGCAAATAATGCTGCCAAAATAAACTTAGACTATTTTTAAATATATTGTCTAACATATTTGGCTAATACTTTATATAGAGTTTTATTAAATCTTTCTACCAATTTATTGGTCTGTAAATAGTAAATAGTAGATATGCAATAGTAAATTTTATTATTTTCAAAAAGTATTTACTAGTTTATTACAAAAGTAGATACTTTAATTAGAAAGTAACTCACAGGGACTTCTATAATAACAAATAATATTATTAAAAAAAAAGAAGACTACAAAGTTAATATTAGTACTAGTAAGTATATATGCCTCTGGCTACTTAGTAAAATAATCTGTAACAACTACTATATAGCAATAGCTTTCTAGTATTACAGATAATAATTCTACAATATCAATACCAATCTGATTAAATAATTGGCCTACTTTAATTAGGTAAAGTAGTTTACAAGTCTTATATTTACTCCTTCTTTAACAGATATTATAGGCTTCTATATATTGGTTTATATTATTTCTTATTTAAGGCTAGTTATATTTAATTATAATTCTCTAATAGATTTCTTCCTTTTCAAAATATTTAGCTAACAGGTTTGCATACATAGTATATAATATTGGCTTTACTTTATGAGGTCTTAAAAACTCTTAGAGGTCTTCTAAAATAACATAGATTATTCTTATATAAATGATTATTCTAAATAAAGAAGTATTAGATCTTATGCTTTAAAATATTTTTTTTATAATTAAAAAGTACTTTAGACTTACTAAGGTATTCTGTATAAGTTTTATATCTATCTAAATTTATAGTGTTTATTAAATTAAAATA